TCTCAGCTCTGTGGAAGACATTGGTAGGAGGATCACAGAGCAAAGATAGCTCAGGTAGAAAATGTGAGACCCTATCTAAAAAATAGTTAAAGCAAAGTAAGTCTGGATATGTGATTCAAATTGTAGTGCATATGCCTAGTGAACACCATACTACCATACACTGCCCCCCTCCAATAAGACCACAATATTTTTAAAGAAAAAGAACATAGGAGAAAATATTTCAGATTGGGCTGGGAAGGTGGCTCAGTGGTAGAGCACTTGCCTTGCATGCCTGAGGCCCTGGGTTCGATTCCTCAGCACCACATAAGCAAAAAGAAAAAAGCCGGAAGTTGCACTGTGGCTCAAGTGGTAGAGCGCTAGCCTTGAGCTGAAGAGCTGAGGGACAGCGCTCAGGCCCAGAGTTCAGGCCCCACGACCGGACCCAAAATATATATATATATTTGAGATCAAGGAATAAGTAAAGGGTTCTTAAATTTGGCATCAAATGGAAGATTTGGCAAGTTAGGTTTTTATCAAAACTAAAAACTGATGCACTGCAGAAGACCCTGAAAAGTGCCAATAAGTAAATGGCTCTGTTTTCCATTCAGATGAATGGGCTTACCTACATCATACACAAATTTAAATCAAAATGGATCAAATCCCTAAGTGGGAAGAGCTAACACCAAAAAAGGTCTTAGATGAAAATAGAAGGGAAGCCTCATAATCCTGGACGTGGCAATGACTTCTTGGACCTGTCACCAAAGCAAGTCAATAAAAGAAAGATTAGATAATTGGAATTCATCAAAATTAAAAACTTGGTGGCAAAGGACACACTGACATAATGAAATGGTAACTTGGGAGGAAATTCCATAAATTATACATTTAATAAGAAATTCATATCCAGAATATAAAAATAACTACAGTTTAGCTACAAACACCCAAACAACCCAGCTTTAATATATGTGAAAGAGGAACTGGGAATGTGGCTTAGTGGTACAGTGTTTGCCTAGCATGCATGAAGCCCTGGGTTTGACTCTTTAACACCACATAAACAGAAAAGGCTGGAAGTGGAGCTGTGGCTCAAGTGGTAAAGTGCTAGCCTTGAGCAAAAGAAGCTCAGGGACAGTGCCCAGGCCTGAGTTCAAGCCCCAGGACCGGCAAAAAAAAAAGAAAAAAGTGAAAGATTTAAATAGACATTTCTTCAGAGAAGATACATAAATGGTCAATAAATACATTGTCACATGTCTATGTAGGAAGCAAAAATTATGTAACACTAAAGGAGTGTGTAGAAAGCGAATGAAATTTGACAAAAGCTCAAGAACTATATCAGAGCCAGCATCTAGTTTGATGATGGTTATGCATGAAATAATCACTGGAGAGACAGCGTGAAGAGTGTACTACATTACTTTATTTATTATTTTCACTGCACTACTTCTTGTACTTGCCTGTGCATTTGAGAAGGTCTCAAAAAAGTAAATAAAAGTTATAACCAACATTACAAAAAAATCCTAGAGAAGCACCAAAGGAGTTCCATTGCAAACTAATGATACAACCATCCGTAGATTTTTGTCTTTCCATCTCCCAAGGTGTCCCTTAGAGTTTAAAAGGGGAGGGGTGATTTCCATGTGTCATCAGGCACAGATAGAGCTGGTTTTCTCAAAATTGGGATGTAAAGTTCTTCATAGAGTTAAACTAGTAAACAATAAACAGTTTATCCATGGACGGCTAGCTCACACTAAACCTTCTACTGTAATCCCCCCCTTATCTCCAGATTCATTTTAGTTGCCCACAGTCAGCCAATGGCTACTTCATATGATTCCACAACTAAGCAAATGAAGAAAAGAAATGTATTAGAAGATAATAAAACACCAGAGTCTCAGAAAGGCAGACCTTCTACAGCAAGATACTAAGATTAGTTTTTTGGGGAAAGCCACTTGTAGGACACAATTACAACTATAAGTCAGGGCGTGTGTACCATTCTAGATACATGGAAGCACAGAGAAGAAAGTGTTAACTTGTTCTGATGCCTGGCCTTCAAGATGGGAATCTGGTTCTAACATAAGCATTGATGTGCTCAGTCATTTGAAAGCATGTATGGGACATGGATTTGGGGCCAGGTACTTTCCATATGTCATCATTAATCCCCACAGAAATCTTATCAAACAGAAGTGATCTCTATGATTAGATTTAGGCTTCAGAGATGAATAACCTGCTCAAGATTGCATGGGGCTGGGCTGGATTTCCATCCTATGCTTTGCATCCTACTTCTGCGATCCCACTCTAGAGGAAAAGCATGCAGGAAGCTGAGGTAGCTTGTTTCCGGGTCCTTAAAGGCACACATCTTCTTCACGCTCCTTATCTACTTGCTTGCTTCCAAATATTGACTTTCCAATGTGATGGCTGGCCCAATGGACGGTTCTGTTTCTCATCATGTATCTGTATGTTGGTATTATGATTCTGTCGCCAATGTAATGTCATAATGGTTGTCATTTCCTCTGGGATGACAAATTCTGAGTGCACGGGAGCATTCATCACTGCAAAGATCTAGCATACTGGGCTTGGATTCGTCACCTTAGGAAGGCCTCAAATCTTTGGCATCATTTGCTCTCTTTGAATTCAATAATCTTTATGCAGAGATATAGGGAAATTGCATTACATATTTCAATAACAGAGTCAGGCCCAAGAGTCAGCTTCTGGCAAAACTGAGGCTAGAAGCTAGGGCATAACCATCTTGTAACTCATCAGCCAGAGCATCCTTTCCAGTGGTAGGTCGGGTCATTATAATTCATTTACCTATTTGCTTACCACCCCTATTTTCTGTACTTTCTCTACATCTTGGCCACTGATGGAATTATTTTTGGTACTGTAGTTGATAACTTTATTAAAGCTCACAAATTTGGACATGAATAAATTCATAGGCACTGACTAACCACACTGTATGTTCTTAAAATCTTCACCATTCTTCTACTTTAGGTAAACCGGAAAGCCAGGTACCACTACCTCATACGTTTTACAGTAGTCCTCTCTTCATCTCTAGTTTTACATTCCATGTTTTAGTTGCCTATAGTCAACTATAGCCCAAAGATCTTAATGGATAATTCCAGAAATAAACGTTTCCTAAATCTTGAATTGTGTGCTGCTCTGAGGAGTATAATCAAATCTTGTGCTATTCCACTCCACCCTGCCTAAGACTTGAATAATTCCATGTCTAGTGTATATACACAGTATATGCAACCTGCCCATTAATCACTCAATAGCCTTCTCAGTTATCACAACGCAGGGCTTTGTCTTTTAGGGACTCCTTATTTACTTAATAATGGCCCAAATTGCAACATGTGATCTGGCAATCCATATATGCCAAAGAGAAACCATAAAGGGCTCTTCCTTTAAGTAAAAAGGTATATAATAGGGAGTACATATAGGATAGATGCTATGCATGGTTTCAGACATCCTCCTGGGATTTTAGAATATATCCTCCCAGATAATGAACGACTACTCTTTCTGTATAGTATAGCCTGGTGTGAATAAATAGTTGTGGTCATTAGAACTCACCAAATGCAAGTGGGTATCAATAATCATGAAGTAGATTAAATTAATTGAAAGTATTTCTTCAATGTCTTTCAACTTCGCACTTGGGTTATTTAACACTTCTTCCAGATAGGTGTTTAGGCTGAGTAGTGGCTGTTAAAAATCACACCAGTCTGGTTAATGTCTGTCTCCTGGTCCAAAAGACAAATCAAGCAGGCTGGTTCTGACACTTTTCAGGAGGGAATGGTTCAGAGGTTTTCAGGAGCATCACTGTCCTCCAGTATCCAATTCCAGAAGGTCCTGAAAGCCTCAGCATGTGACAGTAGTGTCAGCAGGGGTGCCAAGAAATGTGCAATGTGGGTTCAGATGCAATAAGTGAAATTGTGGGAGTTTTAAATGTTAAAATAACGAACACTGAGCCAGGTGTCAGTGGCTCACGCCTGGAATCCTAGCTACTCAGAAGGCTGAGATCTGAGGTTCGCAGTTCAAAGCCAGCCTGGGCAAGAAAGTCCATGAGACTCTTATCTCCAACTAAACACCAGAAGTGGGGCTGTGGCTCAAGTGAGAGAGCGCTCGCCTTGAGTTGAAGAGCTGAGGGACAGCTCCCAGGCCCAGAGTTCAAGCCCCACTACTGACAAAATAATAACAATAATAGTAATAATAATGATGAACACTGAGATCTCAGTAGAAATGCTGTTTAAAGGCTGCAGTTGTAGCTCAGTGGTAAAGCACTTGCCTAGTAGGTGCAAGGCCCTAAGTTCCATCTCCAGAAAAAAAAAACATTAATCACATTACTATTTTTTATTAGAAGAGCAGTAGAGGTCACTGGGCTGCTTTATTTTCTTAGCACTGGAATTTTGTTGTGTCTGGTGATTTGTGTGTTGGTTTTAGGCATATTTAAGATATCAAGTGTTAATTTGCTATTTATCATTTTTCATAGAAAATTCTAAAACTTCATTTTCATTCCAGTAGAGGGGTAGGTTTTTTTTTTTCTTTTTGGTGGTAGTGGGGTTTGAACTCAGGGCTTCATACTTGTAAACAGGTATTCTACTGCTTGAACCATACCTTCACCCTTTTTAACTGGGATTATTGTTTGAGATAGTATGAAATTCTTTTTCCCAAGCTTATCTAAACCATGGCTCCCTGCTTATACTTCCCATTGTAGCTGAGATGGCAGGTGTACACCACAATGCCCTGCTTTTTCTGTTGAGGTTGAGTTGAGACTTGCAAACATTTTTTTGGCCTGTGTTGGCCTAAAACTCTGCGTAGATAGGGAGAATGAGGATTTTTTATGCAGCTATTTTAGCTTTAAAAATGTAATATCCACAAAAGCTCAACATCTATATTTTATTGGAGTTAATTTAATGCATTGCTTTTCACAGTGTTCATCTTTACAGTTCACCAAGACAGCTGCTCAATAATGTGTCATGAGAAAAGTTCAGATTTGCAAAGCATTTGTCATTTCCTTCTATGTTGCTAATTTATTTAGCAACCACTCATTTCTAATGCTGCTGCTGGCCAGATTATGGACTAATATGCATGTCAGGTCCATAAATCCATAAATGTTCCTAAGAGCATTAAGGGTGGCTGAAGTATGCCTTTTGTACCTTGTGACTTTGCTGACAGTCCTAACTCAAAGCTCTTTCTGCTTTTCTAAATATAGCCACGAACAGACCAGTCTAAAAGCCCTTTTCTTTTTTTTTCTTCTATTTTTTGTGGAACTTTTCTCCGTTTGATCTCAGGGCCTTGCCTTTGATAGGTAGCCTCTCCTCCTCTTCAGCCAATCCTCAGCCCTTTTACTTAAGAGTCTTATGTTTCTGCTGGGTCAACAGTCCCGTACCTCCCACATGGCTGTAATGACAGGCATATACTACCCTGCCCAACTTACTTGGTGAGATGTAGTCTCACTACCTTTTTTTTTAACTTTTTTTTTTTTCCTGTGCTGGCCTTGAACTCTGTAATTCTCCTAATCTCTGCCTCTCAAATTGCTATGAGCCATCACACCTGGCCTGATCATAAAAGGTTTTATAAGAATTTTTTCATCCAATCATTCCTAAGATGGGAATATTTAATGTAATACTAGATAATAATCATTGGTGTTAACTGTTCAATGGCTCTCCCACAGGAAGGAAAGGGCAAGAATGACAGATATGAATCATAGTTTCATAAAACATTTCTTCCAGATGGACTTCCTGATCATTTAAAAAGAATCAGGTGAATTTTTGCCTTCATTATTGATGAATTAATGAATGATTATTTTCATTACAGTGGCACAGGCATGGATGGGAAGAAATGCAGTGTGTGGATGTTTCTACCTCTGGTCTTTACTTTGTTTACTTCAGCTGGGCTGTGGATAGTGTGAGTATGTCCTTAGTTGATATTTTCAGAATTCAGGTGCACTGTAGATTTCAAATCGTCTTGGTAGGGAATTTCTTTTTAATGTATTTATAAATAATTCACTTACCTATTTTATTTTTATTACCTTTAAGTAGTTGTACAAAGGGGCTACCATTCAACGTATCAGTTTAAAAGTGCAAAGCAGGACCCTGGAACTGGTAGCTCATGCCTGTAATCCTAGCTACTCAGAAGGCTGAGATCTGAGGACTGAAGTTTGAAGCCAGCCTGGCCAGGAAAGTACATGATACTCTTATCTCCAATTAAACACCAAAAAAAAAACAGAAGCAGAGTTGTGGCTCAAGTGATAGAGCACCAGCCTTGAGCAAAAAAGCTCAGGTATACTCTCAATCTCTGAATTCAACACACACACACACACACACACTCACACACACACAGAGTACAATGCACCTTGATCAATACCACCCTTTTCATCACTCTTCCATCCTTCTCTTCATTTAAGCTCCCTCCCGCATCAGAAGTACCAACTTCCTAGTGTTCATTTTGTTGGACTATGAATTATTTTTTAAGGGATTATACCATTTGGATTCTCTCCTGCATACCATACTTCAGTCAATACATACTTCAGTTTGCACATTGTGTTTACTTGCGTATTTATAAGTTAGAAGTTGCTTCCACATATGAGAGAAGGGTGCTGTTTGTTTCTCTGGGCCTGACTTACTTCACTGAACATACCCAAGGACTCAGGGCTGTCTCTCAGCTTTTTTGCTCAAGTCTGGTGCTCTACCACTTGAGCCACAACTCCATTTCAGGGGATGGGGGTGCTACTTAATTGGAGATAAGTGTCACAACACTTTTCTACCCAAGCTGGCTTCTATCTGAGAGCCTCAACTCTTAGCCTCTTGAGTAACTAAGAGTATAGGTGTGAGCCATTGGTGCCCAACTTTTAAATACTTTTAAATATTATATATACTAGCTCAATCTTTCTCAACTCCTCCTGGCTTTTCTCATCTTTTTGATTCAAAATAAATAGTGAGGCTGATCAATAAATTATGTGAAGCAGATCTTAAAGAATACTGGTTGTATTTTGTGCTTATCTGTTCTTCCTGTGATGCACATTAGTAAACAAGTTATAGGAATTCAGTATTTGCAAGATTTTCTCACTTGAACAGACAGAATTCTATTTTTAGTCCAGTTTATTGAAGAGTTATTTTGATGAAGTCTATTATGCCCATAAGCTGAACATCAATACATTTTATATTTCTATGGTAAACCATAGACACATAACCAGACTTGCTTCTTTCAAGTAATATTCACTTTAAGGATTTTTTTTAGTTTTTTGAAGCTTATTAAGAATGATGAACACAAGCAAGGCATCAGTGGCTCATGCCTATAATCCTAGTTACTCCAGGGCCTAAGATCTGAGGGTCATGGTTGGATGCCAGCCTGGAAAGAAAAGTCTGCAATGCTTGTCTTCAACTAACAAGCAAAATATGCCCAGCTGAAGGTGTGAATCAAGAGGGAGACCACCAGCTGTAAGCAAAACATCTGAGCAACAATGCAGGTCCAGAATTCAAGTACCAGTACCAGCACAGAAAGAAAAAAGGAAGAAAGAGAGAGGAAGGGAGGGAGAGAGGGAGAAAGAAAGAGAGGGAAGGAGGGAGAAAAGAAGGAAAGTGGGAAGGAAGGAGAGAACAAAGAAGAAAGATAAAAAATAAAAGAATGGTGGGCACATATTCCTAAGAAATTAGAAACTCTGAAGTCTCGTTTGCACAGTTGTTAGGGTTTCTGTTTTCATTTTGTTTTTGTTATTTTGCCAGTAATAGGGTTGAACTCAAGACTTTGCATTTGCTCATGGCATTCTCCACCATTTTCAATCACACCTCCAGCTAGCTTTTTGCTGGTTATTTTGGAGATGGAGTTTTATAGACTTTTCTTCCCAGGTTGGTTTCAAACAGAGATCCTGTAGATCTCAGCCTTTTGAGTAGATAAGATTACATGTGTGAGTCACCAGTACTGGGCTCAAAGTTTATTTCTTTGTTTTCTAGTTTCTACACTATACTCATCACTATTAATTTTGGAGGTGTTTAGAAAGTCAGAAAAATACTAATAATGGCATTTGATCCTCAAAGAAGTAGTTAAAGAGCATTGAACTGGGTGCTGTTAGCTCACAGCTATAATCCTAGCTACTCAGAAGGCTGAGATATGAGGATTGCAGCTCAAACCCAGCCAGGACAGGCAAGTCCATGAGACTCTTATCTCCAGTTAATCAGAGAAAAAGCCAGATGTGGTGCTGTGGCTCAAGTGGTAGACTGCTAGCCTTGAGAAGAAGAAATTCATGTACAGCGCCCAGGCACTGAGTTCAAGCCCCAAGACTGGCAAAAGAAAAAGGGGGGAGCATTGTTGCATTGTCTTAGCTAAAAAGAAAATAAACAAACAAATATTTTAAAAAGAAAAGAATGAATTTGATTTAGTACAACCATTATGATTAATGGTTCTTGGGTTTGTTGGTTGGTTTTACATTTTGCTCTGTATAAATGTCTCATTCTTTCCTAATAGGTACTTTATAGCTGTGGAAGATGACAAAATTTTACCATTAAATTCAGCTGAAAGGTAAAGTTTATCTCTGAGTAATTTATTGTTCACCCAAAGATTGAGCCAAATCTGTGGCACGAGCAAGATTTACTTTGATAAGTGTCTGTGGTTTAACCCAAGTCTCTGTGTTTTCTGTTACCCAGGAAGCCTGGTGTGAAGCATCCTCCGTACATAAGGTAACTCCATCATTGATCTGTTGGGAGGCTTACAGAGATTAAGACGGGAATTATAAAGTATGTCATCATTTTCAAGTATTGCAGGTGATGACCCTCCTGCTAGCTGTGTGTTCAGTCAAGTCATGAACATGGCGGCCTTCCTAGGTAAGATGAACAGGAAGAATGCTCTATGCACTTTGGAGCATTCTTTTTTATTTTAAGTTTCTCCAAAAGTCAAATCAAAAAATGGTTAAGCTTACTTGATAATTGAATATTATATCCATGTCAATATGTGGAAGGCAGCTTTTTGTTTTAAGGGTCTCTTTCTTTCCCCCTTGTAAACTGGAAACATCCAATCATCCTGCTTACCTTACATCTTTCCTTTCCTCTTCCCTGGACCATCTCTATCATTTCAAGATACTTGAACTTTATTTTTTTGTGGTATAAATACTCTATTTTATGTACCTTAAAACCCTACATGAAAATGTAACATGGTGCAATACATTTACTCTGAAAAGAATGCTTTCTTTATTCCTTCACTGGCAAAGATGGAAACATGGCACAGGCCCCCAGGATAAATCTTGTTTGTGGCTATTGATTTACACACGAAAGGTCAATATTGACATTAGAACAACACTCTCTTGTATACCTGTGCACACATCCAGCTAGCGAAGGGAGTAGGCTTGAGAAAACAGAAACCTTTGGTCTTCCTGCCTGGCTCCAATTCCTCACTTATTCTTCAGACCCCAAGACCCTCCTTCTATCTCCTGTCCCTCTTTTCTGAATGCACTTGGATGATGCAGTTAGTCCTCCAAAGATGGTGGGGACCATCCAGGCCTCTTTCATCTTATATCCCATCTCTTCATGGCCAGATTTTCTCATGTTTCAAAGGGCCACCTTTTTTCTTTTCCTTTGTGTGTGTGTGTGTGTGTGTGTGTGTGTGTGCACGTGTGTGCATGCATGCACATACTGGGGCTTGAATGCAAGACCTTGAACTGTTGCTTAGCTATTTTGCTAAAGGATGGTGCTCAAGCACTTGAGCTATGCCTCCAGCCCAGCTTTTTGATGGTTAGAGTCTTGTGCATTCTTCAAACCTCAGATCTTAGCCTCCTGGATGGCTATAGGATTATAGATGTGAGCCACTGGCACCCGACTGGAAATGGTTCTTTTGGTTGATAAGATTTTTCCTCCAAGCAGGAGATACAGATAATCCACTTTTGTGGTACCTATCCTCCAAAGAAGTGACCTGTTATTTCCTCTATGTATAAATCCTTTCCTTCCTCCAGCACAAAAAAAAACCTACGCATTCTCAATGTATATTTTTATATATGTATATATACATATATGTATATAGGAGAGGGAAACCTATAGAAGTCCCTGCAAAGTCAAGGGAGACTCTTGGTCCAACATGCAACACAGGCATAATCTTCCAATGTGAGAAACGTGAAGAACACTCCCAGAGAAGCACTTTGAATGCCTGTCTGAAGTTAATGAGAGTTCTTCTTGTGGCTGATTCCCCCCTTCTCTTTCTCTCTCTCTCTCTCTCTCTTTCTCCCTCTCTCTCTCTCATTAACACTGAGGCTTGAACTCAGGGCCTCTCACTCTTGCTTGCTTGGCTTTTTTGGGTCAAGGCTGTTGCTACCAGTTGAGCCACATCTGCATTCCGGTTAATTGGAAATAAGAATCTCACAAGACTGTCCAGGCTGGCTTTGAACTACAGTCTTCAGATCTCAGCCTCCTGAGTAGTTAGCATTACAGACATAAGCCACTGGTACCTGACAAGGCAAATATATTCTTGTCCCTGCTCAACTTAGACTTCACCTATACAGAAAGTATCTGGAGGGTGTGGGCTGCTACAGGCCACTAGGGAGAAGAAGAACCTCCAGACGCCTTAGAGCAGCTCTTCCCTTCCTGCCTTTATAGCAGGGGATGTTCATGTCCTAGATGTCCACATGTACTAAAGGCACAGCACTCAGAAGCTAGCAATATGAGGGGCCAGGGCTAATCCTAGTCTTTCCTTTGGTCATCGTTGCCTTCAGCCTCACAACTGCCAGAAGCTTTGTACTCTCTTTTCATTTCTCTTTTCTATTCTTGGCACTGCTCTTCTGAAAAGATTTAATAAGTTTATTTATACCAAGACATAAAAGACTGCTAAAGAATATTTCCACTGAGCAGAGTCAAAGCCCAAGAGTGAGCCCTGAACAGGAGGGCCAGGAGCTTTCTGCAGATCCTTGCAGTCAGCATGTAACTGGCAGGCTGGCACCCAACCCTCTGATTATCCCACAGGGCACAGGACAGTAATGAACAACCAGCATTTCTATTCCAGGCATAAAGTTAAGTGTTTTATAAACACTGCCTCATTTAATCATGATGCATAGGAACGTGCTTCTATAAAAATCATCACAAACCATCTCCATTCAGAGAAACAGATGAATATATAAAAAGCTACATATTGCCTCCTTCATATTCTTTAGGCAAATAGATATCTCCCAATAGTCTTTAGTCTTTAATCTAAACAAAAACAGTTTGCATAGCTCACAAGTTACAAACCTTATGATTAACTAGTTATAAAAGCATGTCTAGAAAAACAAAGCAGTAAAAACAACTCCCCTTCTTCCAGATGACATTTATCATTATCTTATTCTCTAATTCTTCCTGTTCTGAAAGCAATTAAGCTTTTACTAGCTCTTGCTTGAAGCTATTGTAATATTCTGTGTTTAGTCTGTATCATCTTTTCATCGTTTTTGGTGCCACCTGGGAGACATAAAACTTATTAAGATTAGTGCTCAGTGAGAACAAACCAACAATTATTTATTTATTAATTCTGGGAGTGAAAAAGAATCCATTAACTAAAGATTCTTTCTCTACTGCTCTCAGCCTCCGGGCCTGTCCTCTCAGGCTGTGGACCATTACATTAGACCATACAACCGGCTTCAAGAAATAGACCGCATTGCCTATAAATCACTGCATTTTGGCAGCCATATAGATTATAATATAATCACAAAGTGAGTCTGTATAACATTTATTAAAATTAGTTTCCAAAGACCTTTTATCTTCTTGACAGACTAATCAAAGATGGAGAACTCAATTATTTTCTGTTCAGAATTAGCTGTGTTCTTCTCCTAAATCTATGTTTTCCTTCCACTGGGAAGGGAGAGGGTGTGGGAAGAAGGAGGAAGACCTAAAACAAATTTGTTGGCAAAAATGTTATTTCCTGCTTTATGGAGACTGTGAGGATAAAGCTAATGACCGAATAATTTTAGTCACCTAATAGCAGCCACTCTCTTTCCTTCAGCCAAAACATACTGACAGTCATGTTCTACAACAGATGTAAGCAGGAATTATTAATGTGTAAACAGTAAAACTAAATAAAGCAAAAGAAAATTTGAGACAAGTGCTTAGTTACTCAGGACTTTGATATCTAAGGATCGTGGTTCAAAGAGCAGGAAAGTCTGTGAGACTAATGTCCAATAAACCATCAAAAACCTAGAAGTGGAGCTGTGGCTCAAGTGGTAGAGTACCAACCTTATTGAGAAAACTAAGGGACAGGGCCCAGGTCCCAAAATCAAGTCCCATTATTGGCATGAAGAGAGAGAGAGAGAGAGAGAGAGAGAGAAAGAAAGAAAAAGAAAGGAAGGAAGAAAGGGAGGAAAGGAAGAAGGGAGGGAGGGAGGGAGGAAGGAAGGAAGGAAAAAAGAAAGAGAGGGAGAGGGAGAGAGATATTTTGGTGAGACATCAGTTGATTTTTTTTTATTGTAAAGATACTATACAGAGGGTTACAGATACATGAGTGAGGTAATGAGTATACTTCCTCTTGAACATTGTTAGCCCCTCCATTGTTTTCCCCCTACCATCCCCTCCCTCCCTCCCTTCCCCGAAGTTCTTTTTTTTTTTT